CCATTGTTGATAGTTTTAAAATTCATCCCTTTAAAGCTTTGATACTAAAACCCACAAAACTATGTTAGGCCCATGGTTCCAATGCAGGAAGCTCACATTCTGCGGTTGTGTTATCAAGACGAATGCATTTATATGGCAGTTCCTGCTTTGGGTTATCTGCATTGTATAGGAAAAGCTTTGCTAATGAATTGGACTCACGTTAATCCCTTTACAGTTGAGTAATAAAGACCCTGAGCCCATCACAGAGGTTGTTTCCATCTTGGAAGATCCCCAGCTGGTGGTAAAATGTATTGAGTTTTCCAGTTTAACAGCACTGGCTTACACTGTTACATTGTTTCAGTGCAGGCACAGGACACACTGAACGCTAAAAACAGGCCACTGTTCTCTTGAAGGTTGGTCTAACCAACGCATTAGTAGCAAAGACCAGAAATTACAAGCACTCATGATTCACCGTTAACCTCGTGAGTTATGAGTTTCATATTATATTTGATAGAAAAATTTGTTTTTCTCTTTGAAATGAAATGGCTTTTTTGTTTTGTTTTTTGTTTGTTTTGGTATACAGACTTTTAATCAAGGATGAATTTGTCTTAGTGTCCTATATAAACTAATTGGGAACTTTTAATTTCATTCAAACTCATTGTACTTTTTTTCTCCTCCCTCTCGCAGTAGTAGAAATCAAGCAGAAACCGTTTGGGTGACCAAGTAAGTTATAAGGAATATACTTCCCTCATGTCCAGTTCCTTAGCCCATGTCCTCTATAATGATGAGTGTCTTTGTTAAGTTCTGTTGCTGTGATAAAGTCCATGACCAAAAGCAGCTGAGGGAGGAAAGGGTCTGTTTGAGCATACACCAGTCCATCACTGAGGGACATCAGAGCAGGAGCCTGAAGGCAGGAGTTGCTGCAGTGGCTGTGGAGGAGTGTTGCTGACTGGCTTGCTCTCCATTGCTTGTTCAGCCTGCTTTGTTATAGCACCCAGGACCACCAGGCCAGGGGTTGCACTGCCCACCGTGAGCTTGGCCCTCCCACATCAGTCATCAGTCAAGAAAATAACTCCAGGTTTACCCACAGGCTTATCTGGTAAGAGCATTTTCTCAGTTGAAGTCCCCTCTTCACAAGTAACCCTAGCTTAATAAAACTCGCTGGAATAAAACCAGTCCGTACAATGTTGATAGCATTTGTTGAGAACTCATTGTATGCTGAGTGTAATCTTCCTTGAGGCCCACTGTATACATGGCAGGTACTAGTAATACCCCAACTCACACAAAATAGAGGCTCAGCAGGGAATTTTCCCAATGTCCCTCAGCTTCAGTGAGGTAGAAGTGGGATACGGAGCCATCTCCACCTTGTCCAAATGTCTTACCACCTGTCTCTACACAGCCTTTGGTTCATGCTTAACCACTTTGATACATATGAATTACTAAAAATATATAGCATTTTCTGGACTATTTTCTAATAGTCCATAATTTATCTCGTTAACAGCCTAAATGGTAATGACCACCATTTACTGAACAACTACTATGTGCACTGAACTGTGCATATTATCACATCTCCAACTTAGACTTCCACAAAGCCCATGGCAGTGACATTTTGATCACCATTTTATAAACTATGAAATCAAGGCCCAAAGAGGCAGGTGGACCTGCAGCTTGTCACCATTCAGGCAACCATTCCCATCCCAGGGATGCTGGAATTTGGAGAATCATAGGTATTTTTAGCCCTTCTGAAGAAGCAATGCCCAGTTAACCCCTTAGCCTTTACCGGCTTCTTTGTTTGGTAAGGTTTAAGCCACATCCATTGGAAAGCAACTTTCAGCCTCTACACAAGAAAGAAACAGGACAAAAGCAAAGCCTTAGGGGCCATCCTTAATGCAACAAAAAGAGAAGGCAATATTCCTTCTCCAATCTCCTGTTCATTAAAAATTGTGCCAAGTACCCAGGTTGGCTACCACTGTTAATCCAATGTGGTTGGCAGCAAAGTCCTGTCACACTTCAAGGATATAAACCCTGGTAGTCCAAGGTCACAGAAGCTCTTCAGAGGGCCATTGTATTCGGTCCTTTGCAGGATGTATATTCCTCTACAAAATTCTATACAAGTATTAGCCCAGCCTTCGCCCTCCTTAGAAGACATTTCCATTTACAGGTCAGTATTAATGCTAAGAGAATTTCTCCTCGTTCTGAGTCAAAATAGACTTCCCTAGAGCCCTCTTGCCTCCTCCTGGAACCCCGGCAAATCCTCGGAACTGCTCAGGCCTACGCCACCCCTCATCTTTAAGGCCGGAAGGGCTAATGCCTTGTCACCAAGCTTGCTCTTTTCCTTTGGGCTTATTGAACTCATTACCCCTCGTCTCCGTGTACTCTGTCATATTCACCGGTAGGTTTTGAAATATGAGAAGTCAAATTTCTTCCTCTCCCGAATTGATATTTGAAAATGTAGGACACCTTTACATTTTTCTAGTCTATCTCATGTCTAAATTCCCAATTAAATGTGTGATTCCACACCCTTCACAAAAACATCAAGCATGGTGTTAAAAGCTAAATTTGGGCACATTAAGATTTTAAAGAGTTTATTTGATCAGACAAGAACTCATGCATTGGTCACCACCAATTTGCAACCAGGTGGGCTCAAGTGAGAGCAAGAGAGGAAACTTTGACATGTGTCCTTGAAAGTTAGACCAAGAACATACATGTGATGGAAGAGGCAGCCAGTTTGAGGATGGTTAGGCAGTTTTTTGGCAGCAGGCACAAGTCCTGTTTGTTTATATACTGAGCTGGGGCTTTGGTAGGAATCCAGGGCACTGGAGCAAGCTCAGATTAATAGCTTGTCAATTAATTTTTACAAGTGTATATAAGAAGGGACACTGAGCTTAAGCCTCATTACTTGGCTTTGTCCCAAACTGTACCCCTGAATCACCACCAGGCAACTTCAGATGAGCTATTTCCTTTGCAGGCCTCAGCTTCCTCATCTGCAAAATGAATACCCTAACTCCTGCCTACTCTACCCTGGCAAGATTGACTAAGGGGCAGGGCAGATTCATCCGTTCTTCTTGTAAAGACTGTTGGTGCAGAATTCAGCTCACAAGAGCCAAGCCATCACACAGTTACTACAAAGTCCCTAGGAAGAAACGTGCTTCTTATACTCGTTTGTGCCTGGCACCCGGCTCTGTCTGGCTCTAGGCCATGTTAAAGTCAGGTGGTAACAAGAAAGGTGGGCAGGTGGTACCAAGAAGGGTGGGCTGCCGAGTGGCCTCAAAGCCTCACTCATCACGTGGGCATAAGCCTGCGGTCCTAACTCCAGTTTGCCAGTGTCCTGGTGGTGAATGTGACAGCTTGCTCTGATTTTGCTGGGTAAAAATGCAAGCCTCCCTCCACCACCTGATTGTACCATGAGCAGTAGCATTTAAGATCATGGGCTTTATGCATTTTGTTTTATTTATTTTATTTTATTTTATTTTATTTTTGACATCAGGGTAGTGCTGTATCTAGGCTGGTCTAGAACTCATGGCTCACCCCACTCCCCCTGATTATAGTTCTGTGTCCACCCTAGGAAGATCATAGGCTTTTATTTATGCCTTCGAGAAGCAGTTTGGGGGCCTGGGAAAACTGCTCAGTCAGTAAGGTGCCTGCTACACAAGCATGAGGACTGTGTCCACATCCCGGCAGCCACAGGAAAAGCCAAGAATGAGAGTTTACATCCACTGCCAGCACTGGAAGCTGGAGATGAGAGGACCCTGAAGCTCACTGGCCAGTCAGTCCAGCCAACTCAGTCAGCTTCTAGTTCAGGGAAGGGTGCTCCCTGTCTACCAACATAAGATGAAGCACAGTTGAGCATGCCAGCAGACATTGATCGCTGTCCCCCATTCAGTGCACACATACTCAAGCATGCATATACCCATGAACCATTCACGGTTTTACTGAACCTCTGTCACTTCCAAATCTTTTTCTTATGCTTACTACCCAACCCTTTGGAAATCAACCTTGATGAACTCACAGCCCACGCTTGTCTTTGATCCTTAGTGGGCTGAGCTCATAAAAATTAAAATGTCCTAAATACCTCTTTCTCACTCAGAAGTGAAGACACAGACTCAGGACTCAAAATACCAAAGTCTTTGATGCCACTGGACTCACAAAGGAGCTCAGAAAGTATTTTTCTAAAACATTTTTAATTGTGTACTACTTATTGGAAAGTCTGCTAATGATTTAGGTAATGGGTGTTCCCTCCGCTCAGGCCATCATCTATATCCCACTGAGCTTAGACGTTCCTATCACAAAGAAAACCATAGACCACCTAACATGTTTTCTGTTTTATGGATCTTAGATTTGTAAATGGCATCATTCAAAGGCACAGTTGTTTGGTAGCCACTTGGGGACAAAATGAATAAAGACTCTCTATTTGGCTTGGACCCACACTGCTCTGCTTTTGACACAGCTCTGGCACATACGGCAGTTGCTTTTTGGATATCATCCGCATTTCCTGAGGCTGATGCACATGACTGCCATTTTATCCTTTTCCTTTCAAGCTCTTCTCTGTACCATTTTAGTTTTGCATCTTTTATTTTATGTGTAGAGTGTTTTGCCCACACGGATATCTATGAGCCAACTGTGTATAGTGCCCAAGGAAGCCAGAAGAGGGCATTGGATAGCCTGGGACTGGGTTACCACAGGAAGTATGAGCTGCCATGTAGGTGCTGGGAATAAAATCCGGATTCTGTCTGAAAGCAACCAGTGTTCTTAACCACTGCGTCATCTTTCCAGCCCCAAGTTTACTCTTTATCCATCATTGTGGGGCTGGCCCTTTGAGTGCCTGTTTCTTCTCAAACTTGCACTGCTTGCATAAATCCAGGAGTTCCTAGCCTGTTTCTCCTTTCCAGCCTAACGTTGCCTGAATAGAGAAGATCTCCTGAGCGAGGTAGTGATCCCTGCCCCGACTCCCTTCTGAGTGGGCTTTAGGAATTCTGGGCCAGGCCAATAGCTAATGTGTTTGTGGTTCCTCTTGCCCACAGGTGAGGAGGACCCAAGTGTGGAAGAAGATGAGGAAGTGCTGACTCTGTTGTACGACCCGTGTCTCAACTGCTACTTTGACCCCCAGACTGGAAAATACTATGAGTTGGTCTAGCTCCCGCCTCCAGGACTGGAGATGACCCTGGTCACTGCAGATGATCGTGACAGCAACATCAAGTCCACAGTAGGCTCCGTGGACCTGGGTGTTGGGCAGGGGCTCCCAAGGAGTCTAAAGGAACGGAGAGAAGAGCTCTGTAAATAATATTCAATGTTAAGTAGGTCTGCATTCTCTTTGTAGCTGTGTGTACGTGGCTTTAAAACTTGTGAAGGAATTAATACAGGCACCATATTTTAGGTTTAAAATTTGTTCTTAGTTGTTAATTCCAGTCCTCTAATTCTCATTCCGTATATGTTATGTAACCAAATTAAGAATTACTCATTCAAATTTTTCCAGTGTTAATCTATAATAAATGATGGCTTGATACACTATAGGAAGTATGTTCTTGTTTAAAAGATGTCTGAAACCTTTTTAAGGTTTGTTTGTATTAAAAATAAAATATGGTGGCCTTTGGCCACTTTTTTCATCCAGTTGTCTTTACCAGGTTATTCCTAGGCAACTTGTCAGTTTTTTAGACTCTTAGGAAACATGAGCTGATCAGATCTAATGATCAGGTTGTGTGGGTGCAGGCCCCACTATGTCTTTTCAGTTCTAGCTCCTCCAGAGTTTGCTGAGATCACAGCGTTGTTAATCATCAGGCTGCTTAGCACTGTGCTTCGCTTTACTGCTCTTCACTTTTACTGCTTATCTTTTAAATCTAGTAATCTGGTTCCGTGGATCCAGATTTAATAAGGATTGCCACCTGAACACCATTGCACACCTCGCTGCTTCTGCGTTCTGTGCCTAGAGAGACCTTGGTGGCTTTCTTTGTCTTCTAAGAGCAGCTGTGCTCTCATCCCAAAGCAAGAAGTGTGTGCGTCCTGCATTCGGGTAGACGGCCTTGAATCATGTGCCAAATACTTTAAGACTGAGCTGGAGAAGTTCCTATTAACAGGCATGTTTTGTTATTTCACAAAGGTTTTTGATAAGGAAACCATGTTAGAAATAGAAAGTTATTGGTGTGTGCATGGATTTAATGGCAGTTCTCTGCTTTCATTTAATGTTGCTCAATAAAGGAAGTAAGAACTTTTTTCCACAAGCAGATTTGGGCTCCTGTCCAAAGGATCATACATTATTTAAAGCCATGTTTGCGCTTGATAAGCTTTTAATCCCTTTTCTCAAATTATACCTTTGTTATGAATTTCTCTCAAATATCTTCATGTTTACAAAATGAAAATGAATAAAATGAGGCTTCATAGAGCATGCAGAATTATAAAAAAGTTAGAGTTGACTTTTTTTTTTTTTTTTTTTTTTTTTTTTTTTTTTTTTGAGACAAGGTTTCAGTGTGTAGCCCTGGCTGGCTTGAAACTCTCATTTATGTCGATCAGGCTAGCCTCAAACTCAACCCAAGAAGAGATCCTACCATTGGTGCCTCCAGAATTCTGGGCTTACCAGCATTAGCCACCATGCCCAGGAAAATCGTAGTTATCTTGATTAAGAGCTTGAAGACTGGAATGGAGATGATTCCTACTTTAAACAGTCTTAAGGCCATCCATGGAGCAGTCCCCTTCATTTACAAGTTTGTGTTAGTTAAGACTTGCAGTTACATCAGAAACATGAGCTGTTTATTAGGGAGCAGGGTAAGGATGCAAAAGTGTCTCCCAAAACAGGATGTTTCCATGTTTCCCGGCAGATTTAAGATGGGACTTCAAGAACAACAGAGATTTCTGCTGGGATTCTTTCACTGTAAGCATAGCCAGCCTTCAGCTCAGTTCAAAGACTGACTGAAGAAGCAAGCTGAGAATCAGGGTGGGAGTCATGGTGGCTGCACAACTGTCCATTCCTCATGACAATTGATCACCAAAATGGCAGTGGTGCCTTTCCTGCCTCAGGTCTCTGCTTAAGAAGAGAGAAGCCAATGAGCAGGTGAATTGGGCAGAGTGAGGTTCTAAAAACCTTATACAGTTGGCATATGTTAAGACCAAACTGGCAAAGAGAAACCTAGGAACATCTTTGCAGCCCAGACCCACCAAATCCAGCAGGCTACTGACTAAGCACGGTGGCATTCCAGGGTATATGAAGTGCTCTGGCTCATCATAATACCAAAATGCACACCCCTGCATAGAGATTTAAGATGCAATCGAGAAATGTCACACATGAAGTTTATAGGTCCATATGTAGAGTTTGGGCCAGATAGCCTTGTGCTAAGAGCCCAAGAAGCCAAAAAGCCCGTGCTGTAACAAATGAGCCAAAAGCCTGCCCCAACTCTGCTGAAGGCCCTTAGGCTCCTGAATTCTTTCTCTCTGTTCCTGCCTGCTTTCTCCCTCAGAAGTGTGTCTAACAAATTGTCCCTCCTGTCAACCTGCAACACCGTGAAGAGTTGTCCTCAGACCTCTGATGACATTAGCCAATGTTACTAGTAAGTCTGGCTTATCCATTTTCTGCAGGACCAGTGGGTTGAGGGTAAGAGGGTCCCTAAAGGAGACAGGGTGCTGTTAATGTACTGAGGCAGAGAGGACCACACAGTCAAAATCCAACCAAGTCTGTCCTGGAAGCCTCTGAGTATTACCTCTACCTTGCCTCTGATTCACCTTACCCTCCAAGCTCTCTTCTCAAAACTTTTCATTACAAAGTCCTCAAGCCAGGGCTTTGCTATTCCATAACCAACCATATAGAAATATTAGCTTCCATTTTCGATTCAGGAATCTAAGTCAGGAGAAGAGCTGCTCAAGTTTCAGGCAGTGGTCACCAAGAGCCCTCCTCTGTGGATGAGGAAAGAAGGCAGAAGATGCCCCTGTGAGCTGAGACGCCACTCCAAGGCTGGCTGCTACAAGGCCTGACTAACCAGTCTATGCATTTGATTTGTCTGTTTTTAAAGGAGTATCAGGTAGGCAGTTAGCTACAGAGGAACAGAAAAATGGAAAGAGATGCATTTCAAACCACCAATTATTTTTTATTTTTTTAATTCTTTATTAATTACACTTTATTCCCTTTGTATCCTCCCTGTGGTTCCCTCCCTCCTCCCGTCCCAATTCCTCCCTTCCTCCCCCCTCTGCATGCATGCCCCTCCCCAAGTCCACTGATAGGGGAGGACTTCTTTTCCTTCCTTCTGATCCTAGTCAATTAGGTCTCATCAGGAGTGGCTGCATTGTCTTCTTCTGTGGCCTGGTAATGCTGCTTCCCCCTCAGGGGGAGGTAATTATTCCAAAAGAGTCTCAAACCACCAATTTAAAGCCAAAATTCTGTATTTGTAAATTCTCTGACTGGGATTAACTTCAGTGTTACCAAGTGCTTTTGCCCTTTGGAGCCTCCTGGGAACTGACACCTGGGTTCTATACCGCCACAGTCCGACTTGGTTGGTCCCAAGTGTAGCCTGGAAATCGGGAATTTTTAAAACAGCAATTGAGAGTCTCATAAAAGAGAGACTCTTTCATGTGTGTATGGCATGTATGCCTGTGGGAACCATTCTGTAGTCTCTGTTTCTCAAGGCCTCATTTCTAATATGTGCCTTTTAGAACTGATGGCTGCAAATGGACACTGAAAAATCAGATTGACTCTATAGAGCTCCATCCTAAGGTAATTAGCTATCAATCTGGTGACTGATTTAGTTTCTTGTTTCCTTTAATCAGAATGCAGTGTACAATGACTTCTAGTCATCAGTCTCTGAATTATTATTGAATTACAGATCCCAATTAATAGGAATTATGAAAGAGTAACTGTCAGCAATGCATCGTATGATATCAATGATTTAGTTTCTCTGGAAATGATGAACACTCTCTGCCTCCCCCAACCCTAGTCCCAACCTTCCTCTCTTCCCTTCCAATTAATTTATTTTCTATTGAAGGAAAAGATTAACATGCCTATGCAGAGGTTGGGGGAATAGTTTGCTATATAGTATCTCTCCACATTTTATAAATTACCTTCATTCAACTCAATTGTTTCAAACACATTCTTCATTTTTTTAATATAAATTGGGGGTTTTGTTGTGGCTTTGTTTTGTTTTATTTTTGTTCTTGTTTTTCAAGACAGGGTTTCTCCGTGTAGCCTTGGCTGTCCTGGACTCACTTTGTAGACCAGGCTGGCCTCAAACTCACAGAGATCTGCCTGTGTCTGCTTCCATGAGTGCTGGGATTATCAGTGTGCATGATCATACCTGGCTAATATTAACTGTTTCAAGAAACAAGAATAGTACCATCACAGTCTGCAGAACTCAAAAAGTAATTAATTAAAATAATTAATTTTAAAATTGCTCCTTGGCTTTAGTTGAAGATGTAGCTGTTGTAGGTTCCTGAGCTGCTTTATTTTAAACTGTGCAATGACAGAAAACACAGAAGCACGCTTGCTCTACTCCCTTTGCCCGTGGTACCTCGGTCTTCTGAAATTGCTGGAATTGTGAAAGTTCAGCCTCAGCCACGCCCTCTGCTTGTGTAGCAGCACCTCAGTTTCATACATCATTCATTTTGCATTCTGGATAAGCTGATCATACAATTCTTGTCCGGCAAATTCTGTTTTCTCTGTCTCTCCTCATAGGCAGGTTAGGATGCCGTCATCTAACTGGGCATAGCGAAGTGATGGAAGACTACTTCTTTAAACTTCTGACTTTACAATTCAGGTTGGAAAGTCAATTTCCCAGAGGCACTCAGTTGCCAAGTGCAGAGCTGACTCCTCACTTCTGGGTGGGTTTTTCTCCCACATCAAATGAGGATTCCAGTGGTCTACATGCCATTGAATGGATGCAATGAGCACCTTGCCAGGAGCTTGGGCTCTGCAGGCTCAGTTAGCCCCTCCTTCTCTTTCACTCTGCATATCCTTCTCTCATTGGTCAGAGCAGACACTCGCTGAGCTCAAGGCCTCTGTACATCAAGGAGCAGCATCCCCGTGTGCCCTCCAAGAAACAAAACACAGTAAACGCAGTGGGAGGGGAGAAAGGTGCACGCTCAAGACAGGGAGACACAATAGACACGAGATTGTCATTTGTCTTTATACAGAGGTTCCCAGTTGGGGGGGGGGGGTGGACGTGTGTGCGCGTGTACATGCCTGTGTGCTGGTCGTGAATTCAGGTGGCACCTGAATTCTTCTAGGAAGTAATTTTTAAAATACCCCTGTTTGCCCTAGATGAGGAAGGTACTCGCAAACCACAGAAAGGATTCCAGCAAAGTCCAGTTAAGGAACCAATGAATCAGCTCAAGTTGCTTGCAGTGCATGGCTGACTCAGAGACTGCTACTCTGCCAGGACGTCCCCTTAGCAGCTTACTGACAGCTACACTACTGAAGAGTCCCAACCACAGTAGGGGCAACTGACAAAACACTGTGCCACTGTAGAGTCCTGTGGGCAGCTTGCAGGGAGCTACTCTAAAGAAGAACACCCTCTCTGCTGTCAACTTCCAATATTCTGAGTAACTGAAGAGGGTTCAAGGCCTCATGAAGGCTGT